CACCTCCTCCTCAGCCCCACTGGGGTCCCGGCTGCAGCCACCGCTGCCGCCGCCATCTTCCGCTCCACTAGCGTGTTCCGGGCCGCGCCGGGAGCACCGCCCCCCCTGTGGTCCCGCCCACATCCCCGCCCATTATTCGCGGCTTTGCACAAGCCCCGCCCCCTCGGGCTCGGTGCCCTTCGCAATCACCCAGGTCGAGAGTGCGCAGAGGGTGTGGACGCAATGTCTCCTGGGAGTTGTAGTCGCTTTTTACTTCATTGCCTGGTAGCCAGGACTTCGAGGATTTCCCCTAGACGAGGGACCTAAATTATTGAGAATTAAGGTGGACTGTTTGAAAGTTTTCTCCCCTGTTTTAAGCATATCTTTTAAAGGCTATCGTTTTTTTTTTTAAATATATTTTATTGATTTTCTACAGAGAAGAAGGGAGAGAGATAGAGAGTCAGAAACATCGATGAGAGAGAGACATCGATCAGCCGCCTCCTGCACATCCCCCACTGGGGATGCACCCGCAACCCAGGTACATGCCCTTGACCGGAATCGAACCCGGGACCCTTCAGTCCCGCAGGCCGACGCTCTATCCACTGAGCCAAACCGGTTTCGGCATAAAGGCTATCGTTTTATATAACGCCACCATTCCTTTAAAGAAAAACCTGAAAGAAGCTAGGATCAGGTCATGAATATTATTCTGTAGTATATATATTAAAGAAATTGAAGTACACAAACCTAGTGACGCCTTCAGAATTTATATACTGGAAGCACTAGGGCTGGCAATCTGGAAAGAAGAGCCGTTTTGCATAGTATTTAGGAAAATTCGAGAAAATGTTGTATGTCCCTATTAGAATGGGAGAGGGGGCATGAGTGTGGGCAAGTAGTGACAGAGATACAGACACGGCCACTGCAGATGTTATAGAGAAGTGTTTCAGACTTCGTAGATGGTTCTGCCAAATTGAGAGTAAATAATTCCAGGCCCCAAATTTCATTGCCCCAAATCTTAATTTTCTTGTGGATCCACCTGCAGGTCTCCCAACCTCTGGCTTGGGTGCCGGGAGAGGTTACGCAGTACCAAAGACTTGAGAGGGTATGGACTCCTTTTCCTTTCTCCTTCACAGCGCCACCTCTTCTTGTCCACAGGACAGTCCTTGGCAAGAAAGGCAGCTCCCCTACTTATTCTTTTGTTAGTTCTCAGCCCACCACTGACATGGCAGTATCCTTTTCCAGATCTTTTTACTATTATTTAAGCCACCTTCTTCTGAAATTATTTAGGTTGAATAATAACTAAATTTAATGAGGAGTCTGTAATCTAATGAGATTTGCTCACCAAATAACAGGTTCGTATGTGTGTATGAATGTACATTCGGATTATATACCATGCCTAGGGGTGCTGTACATAATCTAGCTTTTGCACTTCATTTGGTGTCATGGGACAACCCCTTCACTGAAGGCTCCAGCCATGCTCACAGCTACCTTGGGCCTTAGCTCTTGTTCTTCCTTCTACCCACTAGAATGTAACTCCATTATCTGGACATTTGGGCACACAGTGAGTGAATGAATGAATGAATGAATGAATATTTCACTAGATCCTAAGCTTTCCAAGGGCAAGGATCATTTGCCATTGTATTATTAGATCTAATTCAATCCCTGGCATGCAGTAGGGTATTTCGTAAATGTTTGTTGAATAAAAGAATAATTGAATAGGAACCTTAAATAATATAAAAAGTAATGTTTTTTGAATAAAGGAATGATTGAATGAATGGGGTTCACAGATAAAAGAAAATTGAGATTTGATGCAAGTGATCCAATTTGGAATGATTTTGAATTTTATTGAAACATAAATATAGTCTGGCTGGTGTGGTTCACGGTTTGATTCCCTGTTAGGGCACATGCACCAGTTGTGGGCTCCATCCCCAGTAGGGTGTGTGCAGGAGGCAACCAATTGATGATTTTTTAAAAATATATATTTTATTGATTTTCTAGAAAAAATAGAGAGGAATAGAGAGTTAGAAACATCGATGAGTGAGAAACATCCATCAGCTGCCTCCTGCACACCCCCACTGGGGATGTGCCTGCAACCAAGGTACATGCCCTTAACCGGAATCGAACCTGGGACCCTTCAGTCTGCAGGCTGATGCTCTATCCACTGAGCCAAACCGGTTAGGGCCAATTGATTTTTTCATCATTGATATTTCTATCTCTCCCTCTCTCCTCCTCTCTCTGAAATCAATAAAAAACATTTTATATATATATATATATATATATAGCATTGCTCCTTTTCCAGTTCACTTTTAACAGAAGTGTAGTTATTCCTGGGGTTCCCATCTAATTCTTTAAATTATTGTTTTTATTAATGTACCTAAAGTCCTGCCAACCATCTACTTAAAGCACCTCATTCTGTTTTATTCTGTTATCCTAATTATTGTCATTAAACACTTTTGCAGTTTACAATGTGCCAAAGTACTCTATATGTTTCTGTCCTTAAGGGTTTTCATCAAAATTGGATGGAATAAATCGTTTCACATAGTGAGTGGCCTTTTGTCAAATATGTAGACCAAAAAAAGTTCATTTACAGAGTGATCCCGAGCATGCAATCACACCTTGCTATTTTTTTATGGCCCACAGCAATTGGAGAGCGCCCAGAAGAGGGGGCGGAGCCTTGTGGAGCCTCTGCTTGGCATTTATGTCTATGCCAGCTGTGTTAAAGGTTGTTCTTTCGAGCACACACACACCACTGTCAAATCCCAGCCAGGCTGTCAGGTAATTCTACCCCAAGGACAAACTTTTTAAAATAGCATGTCCACCCCTTTCCTTGCCTCATCAGCTCCTTCAGATTGCTCCTGCCTTTCATTTTCAGGGCATAGATTACGAATTTCTGTGTCATTCACAAGGACCGGTTGGATGAGATGAGCAGGAACATAAAATGTGACTCTGAAGTTGGTAACCTCTGCTCTGATGGGGCTGCTGTTTTCACAGTGAAGTGATACGGGTCACTTGAGTTTCTTGCAAATGAGCTTCCTGCAAATGAGTTGCTCACCAAAGTACAATGTGAACAGAATCCTTTCTCAAAGCTCCGTTGGGCTTTTTGGAAAGGAGAGGAGACAGGGCCTCAGGTTCCCCTTGAATCATTTATTCCAGAGCCAGCATCGAAAAGTTTCACCATGGGGGAGAAGCCAGGAGAGGGTACTTTGGAAAAAAAAAAAAACACACCAAAACACTTTTTCCCTGCCCTCTCCCCGGAGCACAGTTCACTTTTGACATTTTGCTAGACTTAAAAAGCCCTAACGAGTTTTCTCCCTTAACAGAGTTACATTCTTAACACTTCAAGGATTCCTGGGAGGTCAGTTGTCACTCTCCGTGGCGAAGAAGTAGTGAAAATACCATCTGTGTTCCCAGGGCACCTCGATGGCATTAGGAAAGAGTTTTTGCACTGGAGTTACCCCCAGCTCCTAAAAAAAGAAAAGGAAAAAAAAAAAGGCGGGGGGGCATGAATTCCCTAGTGAGATTTTCAGCCAGACTGGTACACCGATCTCTTCTGATTTCTATTTGCTAACCTATTCAAAAGGAGCACGAATTAGTTTATGGCAAGGTTTCTCAACCTTGGCACTACGGGCATTTGGGCCAGATTATTCTTCGTTGTGGGGGGTGTCCTGTGCATCAAAAGGGGCTTAGCAGCATCCCTGGCCTCTACCCACTAGATGCCAGTGGCATGCCATCACCTCCTACTAGGGACAACCAATAATGTCTCAGATATTGCCAAAAGTCCCCTAGGGAATAAAACCACCCCCGTCTAGAACCACTGGGTTATACTAATGTCATGCACATAAACAAATAGTTGGCGGAGCACTTTGGGCCAGAGACAAAAAAAAAAAAGAAGCCGTTGGTGCCTTCATGGCCATCACAGTATAGCAGGAGGGTTCAAATTAAGTAAATATATAGAGAATAAAAGCACTAAGGGGTGAAATAAAAGAGGCGTGTGGGAAAGAGAATGGGACCCACTGGGGCCAGAGAACACAAGGCCTCGCATGAAGAGGTGACATTTGTGAGAGGTCTGAATGAACAGACAGAGGTCTGCAGAGCGGGGGATAACCATTCCAAGAGGAAGAAGTGGAACCTCAATGAATGCAGAGTGTTTGCAAGAAAGCAAGTAGTCGAGTGCAGCTCAAGCTTAGAGTCTGAATAAGGAATAATGAGAAATGGGGCTAGGAAAAGCGTTTAGGAAGTATTAGGCAAGTAGTTTAGGAACTCCTAGTCCATAAAAAGGGATGAAGTAATGATACATGCCTGGACAGCAATGAACCTTGAAAACCTTATGCTAAATTAAAGAAAATAGTCCCCAGAGACCACATACTGTATGATGCTATTTATATGACATGCCCAGAATAGGCAAATCCATAGAGACAGAAAGCAGATTAGTGGTTGCCAGGGACCAGGAGGAAAGGGAATGGGATGTGACTGCTAATGGGTATGGGATTTCTCCTTGGGGTAATGAAGATGTCCTGGAATTAGACAGTGGTGATGGATGCACAAACTTATAAATATACTAAAAAAACAAACAAACACACACACCAAAAAAAAAAAACATTGACCTGTACACTTTAA